AGGCCCCCCCAGGTGTCCTCCAACCCACGCCGTAAATAAACGCCCAGCCACTGAACGTTAACGTTGTTTTAATTGCGGAATGATAAAACGACATTCCTAATTTAAAAGTCAAAAGCGCCAAAAAACGTTCCGCCAACCCCCCCTAAAGCGGGCAGCAGCTCCTCGCCAGGCAGGAACAGCATCGCGCCAAAGCATTTACAGCGCAGGAACAATGAACCGTTTGTTGTTAAAAAAAAAGAAATGGCGCCATGTCCAACCTCTGCAATTAATCATTTTACCTACACACAAGTTTCTTCAAATAATCTCACACCGTTATAATAGATGCCTGCCACAGACTAATACTTTCTTTGTAATTACATACGTATGTCTCACCACAGCAGTACAGAAATTCCTGCGTTTTGGCATGAAATACGTAAACTGAAGGTGTGAAGAATGCCTGTTTTTTATACTTGAGTCTGGTGCCTTCAGTCTGGAAGAAACGCAAAGACTCAAGCCCCTAACTGTCCCAGCAGCAAAAGCAAAAAATGTAATAATGCTCTGACCACGCAGCCCTCCCGGACCTGCTCCCTAAAGCTCTGGAAATTAACCCAAGACTTGTGTGCCCTGCGTGGCAGGTTCTGGACAGGGAGTTCCTCAGCTTTGAAACAGAGGCCAAAGTTACCGGTGAAACCTTGTGTTGTGGGTAATGAACCTTACACAGTCACCATCAGGATTTAAACGCGTTATGAGCAGGGAGTCAAATCCCCCCGAATCACCTTCGTTACAGAGATTTTCTCCGTCACATCAGCAGTCAGGTACCTTCTGTCCTTCCTGATGGGGTACGACCTCCCGTAAAAGGTAAGTTCTGATTTCTTCAGCTGGGCTTCCTGACAGATTTTCTTCCCTTAAAATATGCTCCATTTTGACTAAAAACGGAACAGAAACGATCCCTAAAAGATACTTAAATACAAACATTCACATTAAACAACAAAATGGAAGTGGTGCGGAGAAGAACTCTGTGAACAAACAGCAGGGAGATGAGTATCTAAAACTGCTCCTTTGGTTCACTGATCTTTCTCCTTTTTGGCAGCACATCTTGACTAGATGAGAGTTCAAAGTGGTGAACCTGCCAAGGGAAAATAAATATTGCATTACAGGTTGCCACACTGCGCAGGCTGTGGCCTGCTCCACGGCCTTACAAGTCCTACGTGGGAAAAGCCCACCCTGAACAAGACGGCTGTGTGATGCATCGAGAGGTGCGTGTGGAGCATGCGGCTCGACCTTGCTATCACCTGGTCCCTGCCCAGAGGCGCGAAGCCTGGAGTAACATCTGGATACTATTTTCTGGCAGAATTGACCCTCCCTCCAAAGGGAGGGAGGGCTGGGATGTATTTATGCTCTAACAGCAGGACCTCCTGTGTGTCACAGCTTCAAGGGAACGTACTGAAGGCTGTTCCCTCCACAGAGGCAACACGCCTGAAGTCCAATTCCATGAGCAGCTGGGAGCCAAGGCAGCGGCCCCAACTGCAGAGCCAGGCGGCACCAGGAGGGCTTTGCACAACAGCAGAGTGCCCCCTACCAACGGGAGAGGGGGCTCAGCACCACACAGGCTCACATTACTGAGTTTAATCCAATTATTTCTCACTTGCACACATGTGGAAAGATAAGAATTTAGCCTTTAGCTCTGCTGTGCTTTTGATCATTTAAAGCAACTGTGCTTTGTTTAAATTCTAGTATTGAGTTCATTAACAAAACCTTTTTTTATAAGAAAGATACGGTGATACTGAGCATACAGAACAATTTTTTTTTTTTCTTCACATCAGCGAATAACATAAAAAAATACTGTGTATGACCCTGGGGTTGGAAATAAAAAAATTCTATTCTGCGGTAAGCAGTACTTCACAAAAAGACTGAATCTACTAGTTCTACATTCTGAATTTAACATCTCCGCTTCATGAGTTTGTTGCGAACTCTGTCAGCCCTTTTCACATGCAGCTTTCATACATAGATATTTTTAAGACACAGACCAATTTCTCTCTGGATTTCTTTAGAACATTCTGCTGAAGAATGAAATTTGCATGCTCCCAAGCTTGATTTCCATCAGCCTTCATAGAAATAAAGCAACCATTAGTTTAGGAGAAAACTGCTGGCAACAGTTGAGCTGCACATTATGAATCCTTGCACAACTACTGTTCCCTAACCCGCACTAAAAATTAATGAAGAGCTTTCCTGAGCGGGGACAGGAAGGGTACAATTTTCCTTGGCCCTGACATGTAATTTCCCCTCCTGACTGTAAGTGAAGAGCGCTTACTTATTTACTAGAACAGTAGTATTCGCCCCACAGCTTTTTCTGAGAAGAACCTACCAGTAACCCTGAACATTCACAAGCAGGAGAGATGTTGAGGTCTTGTGAAGGCCTTCCGGTGCCTCACAAAGCTGAAGCTACCAAGCCCAGTTGGTAAAGGCAGCAGGAACAGACAGATGGGGGCCCCCAGTGCCATCCCCAAAGGCCAAATTCCACCCTGAAGACAACTTCTGCTCCACTGGTGCAAGGCTGGAGGAATTTGGCTCCCCGCAGGTCGCACTGACTACAAGACTCATCTGCTGCAATGTGATTAAGCAAAGAAGTAACAGATTTTTCTTGGTGTGAATGAGTCACAGATCTGAGGTTAGAATTTTGGCCTTGTGCTTTCCAAGTGAAATCACTAGCAAGCATATGGTAACACTGGGCTGGGGATCCCTCCTGGCACACACTCCTACCAACTACGGACTAAACCAGCGGGGAATTTGGCTAAACACATTCTCAAGAAGATGTAAATCAATCCTAATGAATCTTTCTCAACTTGCGTTAACTACATCAACACTCAGCTTTTAACTCTTTGGAACAGACTTTTTTTTGACACTAAGAATCCAAATTGAAGTTAATGGGAATTTTAGAAATTATGAGAGTTTCATTCTGTCAACATGGAATGTATTAAAGCTTAGAGTTTTATTCACTGTGTGGAACAGAAAAAGGCTTAAAGAAGAACAGAAATAGGAAGAACAGAAGTAGAGAAAAAACTATACTAACAGTGCTGGTTTGAAATATCTTTCCACTTCTCGTCCTGCTCTCTGACACATTAAGTTCAGATGTTTTACTTGCCAAATGATCGACCTAAAATCAAAAAATAGATGTTGCCTTGTGACAGCAGTAAAAAAATATATATTAACGGCTACAGCAAGGTTCAGTGCTGTAGCGTGCAAAGAGCTCTGGCTCTGCTCACCACAGCACTCAAGCTGAAATTTAAATACAGGAGTATACCCATTGAAGTCAACAGCACTATTTACTGCTGAATGTGCCAAAGAGCCCTGACAGATCAAAGCATCAGTTATTTTTATACAGTAGGTCGCTCACGGTTACCTAGGGCTATTCTGTTTTAAGAAATCTTAAGGACCTGTGTTTGAAGTAGTCCTCCACATTTAAATTATACCATTTTGCTATATGCAGGGAATATAGCCTGAGTTTTAAGTCTGAGTAATAAACCTGCATTTTAAGTTTTAATCAACTTTTAATCAAGTTTTGGTCTGTCAGAGAAATTTCTATTAGGCAGAGTGTTTGGTTATGGCAGTTTATAAACGTGGAAGTTACATTCCCATTTATCTTAATATCAGTCAGACCATCTGGTTTGAAATCTGTATCACAGAAAAACAGCCTTTTGTTACTGCTTTTGATTGCTTTAGAATATTAATCGTTTTTGTGAAACAGTGGAAAGTAAAACGTAAATGCATTTTATTGCTGAAAATACTGACTGTGGTAAATAAACCTTTAGCAGATTACCTGTTAATCACTCAAAGTAGGAAAGAAGCTTCACAAAAGCTCTAGTAGAAGTTTAAGACAACAGAGTGCAGTTTTCATACCTGAGGATTAGGAACATACAGATTCTGGTTCCCTCCAGCCTTCGTAACTTCATCCTCTTCACAAGTTACATTTGGTTCTATAAAAGAGTTGTTAAATAATAAAGCACACCACTGACAACACACTAGCAGCCTCTTAACACTGATGCTTTGCCACAAAGAACACCCCCACGTTATAAATGCAGCAAACAGGTGCTCCAAAGGGCTCTAATTCTCTGTGTGCAAGCAAGTCATTAACTCCACCAAGCATTACATTCTCTTACATCTTTAATTCAGCGATTTCCTATCACAACTTCCTATTGCAGGCACTTAAGAGATGCTTACGCTAGGTAGTACGGATTTACACGCCGGATCTTTGGAAGAGTGGGCTTGATCCCCAAACTCGTTTATACACTGTACTGCTAAAGGCCACGAAGAATGAGCAGTCAGTTCTGGAGGGTTTTTTGTGGTGGTGTTCCTAATCCCTGCTGTTTTTTTTTCTAGGATACAAAATGTAAGCATGAACTGGTTAAAGATGACTGTGCTTCAGCTGTTGAAATGACTGAAGAATTTCAGGGCCACAAATGCATCTTCCTGTGTCTTGTAGTTCCAGTAAATAAAACATTGTACCAACTCCATAAGACAAGCAATTCGCTGCATTTTTGCATGCTTCTGGAACTTCCATGAATTTCTAAAAGCACCAGATACAGCTTTATGTGGTTATTTCAGTTCTGCAGCCTACTAGCATCATCAAGATAAAAATGCTAATCTACACATGCTGTTTCCTACACATTTCCACGATTATTTTTGAACAGCATGGAAATGTTAGCTGTTTTTGCAAAGTTGCACGTTTTATTTCTGAAAAAAAAAAATTAATGGCCATTATTTAAATCCACAGCCCGTCACATCAGCAGTCAGGTACCTTCTGTCCTTCCTGATGGGGTACGACCTCCCGTAAAAGGTAAGTTCTGATTTCTTCAGCTGGGCTTCCTGACAGATTTTCTTCCCTTAAAATATGCTCCATTTTGACTAAAAACGGAACAGAAACGATCCCTAAAAGATACTTAAATACAAACATTCACATTAAACAACAAAATGGAAGTGGTGCGGAGAAGAACTCTGTGAACAAACAGCAGGGAGATGAGTATCTAAAACTGCTCCTTTGGTTCACTGATCTTTCTCCTTTTTGGCAGCACATCTTGACTAGATGAGAGTTCAAAGTGGTGAACCTGCCAAGGGAAAATAAATATTGCATTACAGGTTGCCACACTGCGCAGGCTGTGGCCTGCTCCACGGCCTTACAAGTCCTACGTGGGAAAAGCCCACCCTGAACAAGACGGCTGTGTGATGCATCGAGAGGTGCGTGTGGAGCATGCGGCTCGACCTTGCTATCACCTGGTCCCTGCCCAGAGGCGCGAAGCCTGGAGTAACATCTGGATACTATTTTCTGGCAGAATTGACCCTCCCTCCAAAGGGAGGGAGGGCTGGGATGTATTTATGCTCTAACAGCAGGACCTCCTGTGTGTCACAGCTTCAAGGGAACGTACTGAAGGCTGTTCCCTCCACAGAGGCAACACGCCTGAAGTCCAATTCCATGAGCAGCTGGGAGCCAAGGCAGCGGCCCCAACTGCAGAGCCAGGCGGCACCAGGAGGGCTTTGCACAACAGCAGAGTGCCCCCTACCAACGGGAGAGGGGGCTCAGCACCACACAGGCTCACATTACTGAGTTTAATCCAATTATTTCTCACTTGCACACATGTGGAAAGATAAGAATTTAGCCTTTAGCTCTGCTGTGCTTTTGATCATTTAAAGCAACTGTGCTTTGTTTAAATTCTAGTATTGAGTTCATTAACAAAACCTTTTTTTATAAGAAAGATACGGTGATACTGAGCATACAGAACAATTTTTTTTTTTTCTTCACATCAGCGAATAACATAAAAAAATACTGTGTATGACCCTGGGGTTGGAAATAAAAAAATTCTATTCTGCGGTAAGCAGTACTTCACAAAAAGACTGAATCTACTAGTTCTACATTCTGAATTTAACATCTCCGCTTCATGAGTTTGTTGCGAACTCTGTCAGCCCTTTTCACATGCAGCTTTCATACATAGATATTTTTAAGACACAGACCAATTTCTCTCTGGATTTCTTTAGAACATTCTGCTGAAGAATGAAATTTGCATGCTCCCAAGCTTGATTTCCATCAGCCTTCATAGAAATAAAGCAACCATTAGTTTAGGAGAAAACTGCTGGCAACAGTTGAGCTGCACATTATGAATCCTTGCACAACTACTGTTCCCTAACCCGCACTAAAAATTAATGAAGAGCTTTCCTGAGCGGGGACAGGAAGGGTACAATTTTCCTTGGCCCTGACATGTAATTTCCCCTCCTGACTGTAAGTGAAGAGCGCTTACTTATTTACTAGAACAGTAGTATTCGCCCCACAGCTTTTTCTGAGAAGAACCTACCAGTAACCCTGAACATTCACAAGCAGGAGAGATGTTGAGGTCTTGTGAAGGCCTTCCGGTGCCTCACAAAGCTGAAGCTACCAAGCTCAGTTGGTAAAGGCAGCAGGAACAGACAGATGGGGGCCCCCAGTGCCATCCCCAAAGGCCAAATTCCACCCTGAAGACAACTTCTGCTCCACTGGTGCAAGGCTGGAGGAATTTGGCTCCCCGCAGGTCGCACTGACTACAAGACTCATCTGCTGCAATGTGATTAAGCAAAGAAGTAACAGATTTTTCTTGGTGTGAATGAGTCACAGATCTGAGGTTAGAATTTTGGCCTTGTGCTTTCCAAGTGAAATCACTAGCAAGCATATGGTAACACTGGGCTGGGGATCCCTCCTGGCACACACTCCTACCAACTACGGACTAAACCAGCGGGGAATTTGGCTAAACACATTCTCAAGAAGATGTAAATCAATCCTAATGAATCTTTCTCAACTTGCGTTAACTACATCAACACTCAGCTTTTAACTCTTTGGAACAGACTTTTTTTTGACACTAAGAATCCAAATTGAAGTTAATGGGAATTTTAGAAATTATGAGAGTTTCATTCTGTCAACATGGAATGTATTAAAGCTTAGAGTTTTATTCACTGTGTGGAACAGAAAAAGGCTTAAAGAAGAACAGAAATAGGAAGAACAGAAGTAGAGAAAAAACTATACTAACAGTGCTGGTTTGAAATATCTTTCCACTTCTCGTCCTGCTCTCTGACACATTAAGTTCAGATGTTTTACTTGCCAAATGATCGACCTAAAATCAAAAAATAGATGTTGCCTTGTGACAGCAGTAAAAAAATATATATTAACGGCTACAGCAAGGTTCAGTGCTGTAGCGTGCAAAGAGCTCTGGCTCTGCTCACCACAGCACTCAAGCTGAAATTTAAATACAGGAGTATACCCATTGAAGTCAACAGCACTATTTACTGCTGAATGTGCCAAAGAGCCCTGACAGATCAAAGCATCAGTTATTTTTATACAGTAGGTCGCTCACGGTTACCTAGGGCTATTCTGTTTTAAGAAATCTTAAGGACCTGTGTTTGAAGTAGTCCTCCACATTTAAATTATACCATTTTGCTATATGCAGGGAATATAGCCTGAGTTTTAAGTCTGAGTAATAAACCTGCATTTTAAGTTTTAATCAACTTTTAATCAAGTTTTGGTCTGTCAGAGAAATTTCTATTAGGCAGAGTGTTTGGTTATGGCAGTTTATAAACGTGGAAGTTACATTCCCATTTATCTTAATATCAGTCAGACCATCTGGTTTGAAATCTGTATCACAGAAAAACAGCCTTTTGTTACTGCTTTTGATTGCTTTAGAATATTAATCGTTTTTGTGAAACAGTGGAAAGTAAAACGTAAATGCATTTTATTGCTGAAAATACTGACTGTGGTAAATAAACCTTTAGCAGATTACCTGTTAATCACTCAAAGTAGGAAAGAAGCTTCACAAAAGCTCTAGTAGAAGTTTAAGACAACAGAGTGCAGTTTTCATACCTGAGGATTAGGAACATACAGATTCTGGTTCCCTCCAGCCTTCGTAACTTCATCCTCTTCACAAGTTACATTTGGTTCTATAAAAGAGTTGTTAAATAATAAAGCACACCACTGACAACACACTAGCAGCCTCTTAACACTGATGCTTTGCCACAAAGAACACCCCCACGTTATAAATGCAGCAAACAGGTGCTCCAAAGGGCTCTAATTCTCTGTGTGCAAGCAAGTCATTAACTCCACCAAGCATTACATTCTCTTACATCTTTAATTCAGCGATTTCCTATCACAACTTCCTATTGCAGGCACTTAAGAGATGCTTACGCTAGGTAGTACGGATTTACACGCCGGATCTTTGGAAGAGTGGGCTTGATCCCCAAACTCGTTTATACACTGTACTGCTAAAGGCCACGAAGAATGAGCAGTCAGTTCTGGAGGGTTTTTTGTGGTGGTGTTCCTAATCCCTGCTGTTTTTTTTTCTCTAGTATACAATGTGTGCGTGTGCTGTTTTTAGATGACTGTGCTTCAGCTGTTGAAATGACTGAAGAATTTCAGGGCCACAAATGCATCTTCCTGTGTCTTGTAGTTCCAGTAAATAAAACATTGTACCAACTCCATAAGACAAGCAATTCGCTGCATTTTTGCATGCTTCTGGAACTTCCATGAATTTCTAAAAGCACCAGATACAGCTTTATGTGGTTATTTCAGTTCTGCAGCCTACTAGCATCATCAAGATAAAAATGCTAATCTACACATGCTGTTTCCTACACATTTCCACGATTATTTTTGAACAGCATGGAAATGTTAGCTGTTTTTGCAAAGTTGCACGTTTTATTTCTGAAAAAAAAAAAATTAATGCCACTATTTAAATACACAGCACAGCCTGTTCAGTGTCGGGCTTGAACGACAGGGCACTCTAACCCATTTAAAAAAAATAAAATCCAGGCTCAACTTGCTTTCTCCAACTGCTTCCACAAGCACTCGGACACCATGGTAGCCCCAACAAGCTCCTAGTCTTGTTTGGGTTGAGAGGACCAAAAGCCTCAGCACCGACACAGTTGCTGCTTTTGTAGTTACGTGGAAAGCAACATGTCTGGAAGTTTTTATGGAAAATCGGTGTTTCTGAAGCCTGCAGAACCAGAGTTACATTTCAAAGCAGATGCAACTTTAGGGAAACGCATTACGAAGAGTGAACAGAGCAAGCAGCACTAATGGGCATTTCTTCCAAGAGTGCCATATATTCATTATCTCCACAGAAGCCTCTACCTCTGCTACAGAAAAAAGGCATTTTACACAGGCATCTCATCCAAATAAAGTTCTCCCCTCCTCCTACCCTGATTTCAGTCATAAAGCTTGGTTTTTTACTTCATAGTCTTGAGAACTGTGTTCCTTTAGCTATCCTGTTTTACATGAGCATATCAGAGCATTTCTGAGCATACTCTTCTACATCATCTCTACTTAATCTTCTTCCAAAAAGGGCACTTATTTCCTCTTTTGATCTTTCTTTGCTATGTTTGAAATGCTTTATGTACAGCAAATGGTTACCAGTATTGTCTGGATGATTCCTATATAGCCTCTCCAAGATGAGCAGACCAACAAGCAGCAATTCATTCTTCAGTTTGTTTGGTAGCAAAGTTCAATCTTTGAGCCCCTGGGCCATCTTGGGGAATCTGAAGATAAATCATCTTCTACTTTCCCTCCTAGTTTCTCTAAAATCTTAAAGGGAAGCTTCTGCTCACAGAGATCCCTGAGGACAGAGTTCGCTGTCTCATGTTTTGAATTGGAGACATCTTGGAGCACTGATTTAAAAAAAAAAACCAACCAACCAAAAAAAAAAAAAAGACAGTGGAATGCTTCCAGGGCCTGTTTCTGGCAGCAGCTGTGGTCAGGCTGGTGTAGCCAGGACAGTTGTTTTATTGGCACTTCTGCATTCTGAGCTTACAGTGGAGGACATTTATACAATCGTAAGCAAACAGCACAGAAACTATCTGTTTATAAAGGCTAAGAAAAATCCAACAAGACAGGTGCTCCTGTTTTTCATCGGAAAGGATTAACAGGTACTTCCTGATGTCCTGCATAGCAGGAAGGACATAATCATTTATTTGATAACAAGGGAGAAGGCGGCTTTGCCTTGCAGTGTTAAGAGTCCTCAGAGTGCTTCCAAAACGTAAGATTTCATTTATATTCTCTGCAGAATTCTCAGTTCAATTGCTTATTGAAGTTGTTATATGAAACTTTTTAAAAAAAATAAAACAGAAGTAAATGTTTTTGGTACCTTCTTGAGAAGTGCTGCCTTATAGGCTTCCACCTGGAATTTGCTTTTTGCTGCTACTCACATCGTTTGCATAGTTTTACATTGACAGATTTTACAGTGTTAGGATTTTACTTGAGGAAACTCAGTTTGCCAAGATTCATACTAACAAAAGTGCTTTGCTAGAACTTGTACCTATTAAAAAAGTTCACTTGCAATTATCAAAATAAGCCATGTACGCAGTAAGAGAAAAGGGCACAGAGGTCCAGAGTAAGCTGTGAAAGCGAGCAGCTGAAAAAGGCACTAAAATAGCCAGCGGCACAGACATAATCATACAATCATTCATAAAACAAAACATATTTTGATACGAAGTTACTGATTGTATCAGGAATAGCAAACCACAGTAAAAAGTTTCCTTTGTACAGAAGAACATGCATCATATGGACAGGTATTTTTACAAAGGTATCATTCAGTCAACGTAAAAACTCTTCGGTGTCCACAAGCCCCGATGGTCTCGATTCCTCCACAACCACAGACTGAAGCATGTATGGATTGCAGAATCAGACCATGGTCCTACCGTAATCAGAAATTAAGGAAAAAAGATGGCTAAAGTGGTATTTCTGCTAAACTTATGTAGTGGCTGAAGCAGTGAAGATACAGTCCAAACAGCTGTGACTTAAACAAAAATAGACCTGGACCATTTTTTGCAGAGAGAATTCTGCTTCACAAGTCTGTAATAATGAACTCAAGAACACAATACCTCTGCAAGCTTTATGTGGAAATTAAATATATTAGTAAAAACATAACAACAACAGAAAAATAAAACAACAAAATTTACTTCTAAATATATAACCCATTAGATTTAGCTTATCTGATAAAATGGAACGGAAGATCAGAATTTCAGAATAGAAACATGAAAACGTGCATGTGCTAACCAAGTGCTTTACAGAACAAAGCCACGACAGAAAATAAAGGTAACTTTGAATATAGTGGTTTACACCAGAAAATTGAGTTTTTGTTTTAGTAACATCAGGAAAAAGGGGCACAAACTGAAGAGACTTGAAAAATACACATAAATGTTACCTTGAGCTTCTGAAATATTTACATTATTCCTATCTTCCACTTTACTATCCAAGACAGGATCTTCCTAGATTAAGAAAAACTTCTATCACTTACTGAAGACAAATAAGGACAAGAGTTTGTAATCAGTTGCTTAGGGCCAGAGCTTATTAGATGGATTCTCAGTGAACAAACTATATTGAAATAATTGAATCTGACATGGAAACGTACAGGCTAGCTCAGCGTTATGTAATTATTAATGCAAGCACACATTTAATTCAACTACCAAGAAAAACATCTGTACAAAATATTGAAATTGTTACAATAGATATTGAAAGAATACTATCAGTGCATCAATTACCACCTTCCCATTGCCTGTGAAACAGCAATTGAGAGGCATATGCAGATTTAGAGGGCCAAGTGGTTTATTTCCATCATATCACCTACAGGCCTCCCGAGCAATGCTAATTGAGGGGGAGGGGCCAGAAGCCTTGAAGCTCCGCCTCCTTCTCACCTATGGCCAGTATAGCTCAGCACACATATTTGCACATTCTAACATGACTAAAGGTATTTGCTGCCTGCCTCAACTTACTCCTCCATGTGCTCCAATTGCTGCAGCCTGCACCAGCGCAATCCCAAGAGCCACCTCGGGCACTCTAGCATCAGCAGCGGGATCCACGAGCCTGTCACGCACTTGTGCCTTCAGCAAGTGTCGCTTTTTTCTAGGGAGGTTTCCCCAGGGAAAAATCCCAATACAGAATCAAGTTTGTTTTAACTTTAGCTGTGGCATCACTAGCTGTATGTATATTGCTGTACAAGAGGATCCCAGAGCAAATTTATTGCCAGTCAATACCGTCTGGCTGCAGCAGCTCGCTTGGGACCAGTATGGGGCAGCTCCAGGGAGGTTCCACCTGCACCTTGTGATTGGAGCTGAACAACTGGCACCTGTACCCACAGCACGAAGCTGCCCCTCTGCTTCCCACCCTGCTGCTCCTCTCCAGTCTCGCAGAGAGATCACTATCAACAATGCTGCTGCTGCTGCTGCTGCCAGGCATTATGCTGATGCACTTGCTCAACACGGCTTTAACAATGACAGATTGTTAACTGGAGCAGTAAAATTAAAGCAAAAATGTATTGAAGACATATTGTCTTGTTTAAATGTATCTGGAAACACAGAGGTTTTTATTAATGTTATGGTAAGACACACAGTAAAACAATTAATGGCCATTTTCTAGACTATAAGTCACAAAAAAATTCAAGAAGCTACACAAAACGTTTGCGCTCTTACATTCATGTCCTGATTCTCTTCTTCTGGATCATCTCTGTCCACTCTGAGCACCCGGAGAGGCACATTAGTGTCTCCGTGCTTTAGGATGCTTTTATCAACATTTTCCATTCGTTGTTTTTCAGTTGTAACTTTAACTTTCAGCATATGAAAAGGCGTTGGCACTTCACCCACATTAAGATACATAGGCTCCCCCTCAAATATCATCCCCTCACATTCACCCTCCTTAAAACCAGGAGGTTGGTAATCAGATGGTGTAACTGCAGAAAAGAATTCATTAAATGAGTCAGAATGAAACACGTTCTTGTAAAATTGATTTTAACTTGTGTGGCTAAAAGACTCTTTTCCCCTTTAAATACAAAGAGCTACTCCAAAAAAACTGTGTGTGTGGGGAAGGGAATAATCAATACTCAAGTTGTACTAAATGAAGTTCCTTTTCCCCTACGCAACAGGCAAAACCCAATTAAAGCTATTTGAAACAGTTTATATATGCAGAGATGAGCTAGATGCTCTGATTTTTCCTTACAAAGCAATAATACATTCTGAAAGCAGAGCTAGTGTCAGACATTTAAATAGTCATCCAAACTAGAACTAGTCTGGCAAAAGCGTTACATCCTAACATACTCAGGAAAACTCAATTTGTTTTTAAAACACACTGAAATCCTTGCTCCAATGAAGTCAGTGACAAGATTGTGTTCCTACAGTGAGATCAAATCTGTTCTCCTTGGATTTTACAAATTATCCTGAGAAACAGACACATGCAAAATAACATCATTTAACAAGTCCCAGCAACCATAAAGATTATATACTAAAATATTTCTTTGAATTGTTTTCCAGTGTCTGAAAAACAGTTGATAAATCAAGGTGATATGGAAATACTACCTTCATCATAATAAAACAGCTTCATAGTCAGGCAAACATCATTTGGTAAGGGACTCAGGTTTTGCATCAGAACATAAATCTTGCGAATGAGGAGGATACTTGCTTTCTTGGTGTCTGCACAGGTGATTGTGGAATCATTCCTTTTATTCTTACTAAAAATGGACAAAGTATTCAGAGTTTTTTAATACAGAGTAAGCTGTTTCTAGTATTAGGATACACGACGGTTTAACAGACTCTATGAATGTCAGAAGCAGACGTCACATTTATTGCCCAAGGTCTGAGATTACAAGCACTGCAATTCCTAATACTAAGTGACCTGCATGTTCTCTGCCCCTTGGAAGATCAAATTCTGAGCCAGGGACATGGTGAAATCAT